CCAAAAAAAAAAAAAAAAAAAAAAAAAAAAAAAAAAAAATTAGTGGTTATTACTCAGCACTGAATATCTAACTAGAAAGCGTTCTCAGGGTAGCCGTGTGTAGGTTAAAATATGCTCTAAGTTGGATGGCAGTAGACCATTGAGAAATCTGTGCCAGTCTGTGCTTAAAATACCCTGGCAGTTATCGGGGTATTGTAAGAATGAAGAGTCAGTGGTGACCTCCTCCCCGCGGACTGCCTCACTCTTTTTCCTCTCTGTGCTGATTACTGGGCACAGTTGATTCCTGTTAAGAGCATAAATGTCACTCTGGACTCAAATCCAACATTACAGCTCACAACTGAAGTGTTTCCAGTCCCAGTTATAAACCTCTTTGCTCTCATTCACACTTGTGAAAGTCCTGCTCTGAGATGCAAAGGTCCCTGTAATCTCACAAGGATATTCTCATACTGTTGATTCTGCATTAGAAAATGAGAAACTATTGATATTTTCAGGGTGTGCTGTAAGGCTAGAACAAAAGCTCAATGGCAAATTCTTACTTGATACAAATATTCCAAGCAGTTCATAATTTGTCATTTAAAAGGAAAAGAAAAAGATGGTGAATTTTTGGATTCACCAAGGTTGATTCCTTCCTTGGTGAATCCAAAAATCCCTCTTGAAAAAAAAAAAAATGCTCTGAAAGTGTTCAGTTACTTTTCCTATTAAGAACAATATTTCAGGTGCCCACCTCCAGATAGAAAATTATGATCCCTGTTCTGTATGATGCTTAAAAACAATATAAATCCAAGTGCTAAATAAAGGACTGGCTTTAAATTGAAGATTCAAAAGTTGCATTTTATTTTAGGTTTCAGAAATGTAACATCTCTATATAACTAAATACTGTTTCTCTTAGAATAATAAAAGGATGGTCATCTTAATTCAGGAAATTGTGAAGAAAATACATGGAATATCACTATATTCTTTCAGCTTTCAGTGGGAGAACAAGATGCTGCAAAGGTTAAGTTAATTTGGGGCATTACCCGTGAGTATTTAGCTGATTAGGTATGCAGAGGTCCTCATTACAAATTAGTCTCTCCTGTGAAGCTGGCACTGAAGGGAGGGGCTTTGAGGACTCTGGGAAGCCTCAGAAATTCCACAGAGTGGGGCATAGTAAAAAGCAACTAGAAACAAAAGGGAACCACAAAAGAAAGTTTGCCCTGAGCATTTTACTGAGGAAATGGGCCTGAAGAAGAGAATTCTGTTTATACAAATAAATAAAGCTTCAGTGTTTAACATGCACATATGGGAGTATTCACCATCCAGAAACACAGCAAAGCATGAAGATAGGTCATAGAAACCAAGCTGCCTGAGAGCAGATGCTTTGTAACCTGAGCAGTGGTGTCCAGACTAGGTGCCTTTGTCCCTGGGCAGGAGCAGAAGGTGATTACAACACTGAAGAGCAGCTGGGGAGGGTGGGACTTCAGCTGCCTGGGATCAGGCTGAAGCTCCGAGCTCACATTTTGATATCTGAAAAGCCTTCCTAAAATGAAGCGCTTATTGGATTTCTTGCCTCCCTGGTTAGCCGGTGAAGACTCAGTATATTTACCTTCTTTCTGTGCGCTTTCATCTTTCATTAAAATTATGTGTGAATAGACCTCTCTAAAGCTCTGTAAAGTACACCATCAGAAAATCCTCTAGATTCTAGAGTCCAGAAAGAGGTTGGATCCGTACCTCTCACAGAAGTATAATCGCCTTAACAGAGGTGCCTTACCCTGGAGACCTCCCACAGCCCCTTGGAACTCTGCAGCTGGCCAGATCCATCATCTTTTGATCTTGACTCAGTGGAAGAAGTAGTACCGTTTGGGCTGCAGGTTGGAACCTGTGGCCACACCCCCAATACAGCCTGCATCGTTGGGACCCCCGTGCGGCCTCCAGTTAGGAAAGCAGGGATTCTTGCCACCCGCGGAAGAGAAAGAAATGACCATCCTTTATCTTTTCTTCTTTGTTCAGCGTGGCTGGACATACGATGTGAAATCTTTGTATCAGGACAGAAATCCCCGCTGATGCCCTCATTTCCGCCTAAGAGCCTGTGTCCTGACCTGCCTGTCTTTCTAGCTCTCTGGTCCCCCTCTTGGCATTCATTGCACCGTGTTCTTTTCTGTGTCTGCTGTCACCCTTGTCCTGAAGCTGCTCTTGATAAAATCAGCAACAAATTTTTCTACTTGCCCAAACCAGGGGTTTCACCCAGGAAACCCAGTAAAAGTAGCAGCCACTCCTATGTGTGCCAGCCGCTGTGCTAGGCACAGATTTTTAGGTCTTTTTAGTCCTCCTGGCATCAGGCACTGCTCCCACCTTCTAAGGAATCTTCTTCTGGACTTGTGATACTGCTGTCAGGTTTCAGATTCCTTCATTGACTCTTCTTACCCATTTCTTAAGTATTGACCATCCCCTGAGGGGTGATTCTTAGACCTCCTCTAGTTCACTCTTTGAGCCACTTTATCTGCTCCCATATCCTCAGCCACCCCCTCAATGTGGTTGGATTTCCAGATCTGAAAATTCTTATTTCCAGTTTCCTAGTGGACATCCCCACCGGATTATCAAACTGATAATCACATTCAAGAGGGTTTCATGCGAAAGCACACCCCCCTCCAGCGTTCCTTATCTCGGCTGACGGCCTCTTTGTCCGCGGCATCCTCCCGCTCACCCGTCTTCTGTCCGGATCAGTCAGCAGATCCTCTTGATTCTTCCTTATCAGAATGGTGGCCCCCCTTCCATTCTCCAGAGCATCTACTTCAACTCAGGTGCTTAGGTTCCTCTCAATTGAATTTACACCACAGCTTCCTGCCTCCCTGCATTCAGCCTCTAGCTGTTCCAGTCCATCCAACCACCAGAACTATCTTTCTGCAACAGAGATCTGATCCCTACTTAAAAGCTTCCAGTGGATCCCAGCTTGGTGGAGTAAGTCACAGTCTTCCAAACCTATTGTACCAGCCTCATCTCCCACCAATTACCCACCCACTATATTATTTCTCATTTCCAGGTGTTTATGTGTGTGTTGATTCTGCGGCTAAAACAGCCTCTGTGTCCTCTTCCGCCATGTGGAAAATTCCTATCCAACCTTTAAGAGCCAGGTCGGTCACCCCTAGCGGGCAGCCGGTGTTGGTTGAATGAATGGATGAGGACTTGCCCAGTCCCTCGTGCAGAGTGAGGCTCTCCCTGCTCAGCACTCTGGAAGCATTCTGTTCACATGTCTGTCCCATTTGTCAACATTTGCGTTGTAGGTGCTCTCTGTATCAGACCAAGCCAGGAGCGGTGATGTGTGCTTCATGTGCCCCTTCCTCTCCCTCTCCCATGGCAGACGTCGTTCCCAGCCCTCTTTACGACGGAGCCCAGACACAGGCTCAGAATCCTTCTCAACACGGCACTAGACAACCACTTTCAGCAGACCGGGGTCTGCACACAGTCTGAGGTCTGTGTGACATCCCCCAAAGAAGACTCTGCGTTTTTCCAGCACATGGGCCGCCTACCTAGTATGACCACTCAATTGCCCAATGAATGAGAAATGGGTTTTTCTCTTTTCTTTAGGGGGTTTTTCTTGATAACTACATGAAGTGTTGGTATTTTAACCTTAGGTTAGGTGTATATTATTTCATGTTACAGATAGATCTGTCCACGAGAATGTTTTCACAGCAAGAGATGAGCGAGGTGATTTGTTGAAACCCCTTGTTACTCTTTGCAAAGAATTCTTCACACACACACACACACACACACACACACACACACACGCACGCACGCACGCACGCACGTTCAGTCCACCAAACCACTGCCTGTTCCTTCGCCCTCTCTACAGATTCAGCCCACGGCCTTGCCTTACAGTCAGCACACTGCATGTTATTTCCTCTAGCCTTGCCTCCGCTTTATCTTGCACATTGTTAAGAGTTGGTTGGATAAAGCATTAAAAAAGATCAAAGTATCTATCCTTACATCCCAATTTCATAATATCTCTTTTCGGCAGTCACAAAAGAAAACTGGTGAGTCTGGGTAATTTTAAAACTAGTTAAAAAGCACTTCGAGGGAGCTGCTTTTTTCTATACTGTATGAAACAGTTAATATTAAATAGTAATACTCTCAGTAATCCATTTTCTTTATCTTTGACGCGGATACAGTAGCTATCAAAAAGATGTGTCAGAAACAACCAGGAAAATGTGAAGCACCTTTTCCATGGCTCAAGTGAAAGATGAAATATAATTATCATTATTGAGTTCAATGAGTTTCATTCACACTATCCAACCTTCTTTCATTCTGGTCACATTTTCAGGGTTTAAAAATGGAAAATGGGTAATAATAAATGAAGAAATCAAGAAAGTTCATATTTTTCTCGGTTTCCTTAATATACATAAGACAGCTGGTTGTGGAACACTCAAAGCAGAAGGCTCTTGCATGTCAGTCATAATGAGACTGTGCAATGCAATAAACAACGATGAGAAAACAGTAAAAGCAGAGGAGAGACAGGGTCTGGAAAAGCCTGCAGTAATCTCTAAAATCACAGTTCTGCTGCATCAACATATATCTGTAGAGCCTGTTCTCTTTACTGTTTAATGAGTCTGTTTAATGAGTCTGTGAATGACTGAAATGGTCTCCTCTCACCTTTTTACGTATTTTCTCTCCTATTATGTTCTCACCTGTCTTGTCTGGAAAATCCATCAGGCTAACTGTCAGGTAGGTTCTTCTTGATGTTTAATGTGATTATTAGGAGTATCCACAGCAGGAAGTGAAGTAAACAGACCGTGAGTGACCTGTGATGAATGATGAAACTAACCAGAAAAGGCAGATGCTAAATTAACAGAGAAACTTTTTGCAGATGCATAAAGCTATAGAAGCTGCAGACTGTAAGCACGTTCAGCCGTTGTGAACATCTATCGTAAGAGCTGAGCCTAAGGGATTACAGCAGCTCTGAATGATAAAGCAGGTTGCCTGCACTGTCCGGTTTCGCTGTGGCTGAAAATACAGCCTGCCCCCAGAGGGCTCAGTTGTCACGGAGTGGTATTATATCCTATGTGGCCATGAGCAATTCTGCTGTGAACTATCAGCTTTTATAGATTTGGCCAGGTCCAAGAAAAATTCACAACGATGTTTTTTGGTTTTTTGTGGTACGCGGGCCTCTCAACGTTGTGGCCTCTCCCGCTGTGGAGCACAGGCTCCGGACGCACAGGCTCAGCGGCCACGGCTCACGGGCCCAGCCGCTCCGCAGCATGTGGGATCTTCCCGGACCGGGGTACGAATCCGTGTCCCCTGCATCGGCAGGCAGACTCTCAACCACTGCGCCACCAGGGAAGTCCCACGATGTTTTTTCTTAAAAGATCTTTTTGATGTGCACCATTTTTAAAGTCTTTATTGCATTTGCTACAGTATTGCTTCTGTTTTTATGTTTTGGTTTTTGAGCCACGAGGCACGTGGGATCTTAGCTCCCTGACCAGAGATCAAACCCACACCCCGTGCATTGGAAGGCAAAGTCTTAACCACTGGACCACCAGGGAAGTCCCCACAATGATGTATTTTAAATCCCTGTTTTAAGTACGTATTCAGGCATGCCTTGTGCCTTGAAGAAAGAGAGAGACTAGGAAGAAATGGGGAGAGGTGGCATGTATTTTGTTAATGCTAAACTCATCCTTAGAGTTCAATCTGACATGGCTTAACTCTAGTCAAAAGAATAGTCGTTTGAAATTGCATAGGGGACAGAGCTGTTCATTTCTCCCCTTGGGGTCAGGGAAAGGGCGTATTCCTTCACCCACGTGAAGCAGCGGAACAAGCTCTTTTTAGGCCCTCAAGTGCAAAGCAGATACTTTATAAACCCAAACCATAGCTAAGCCCAGGAGAAGAGAGACATACATTTAAATTAGAGTGTGTTTGATGTGTGTGTGTGTGTGTGTGTGTGTGTGTGTGTGTGTGTATTGTTTTTAGCTTGAGCTCATTTTTATCTTTCAAGAGAAAGAATTATGTGCTACAGTTGCCATGGAACATAGACTGCTCTAATAGCTTTTCTAATTTTAATTTCAGAAGTCTACAGAGCAAATGAAGAAGGTCCCTACTATTATTCTTTCAGTCTCTTATAAAGGAGTCAAATTTATTGATGCAACAAATAAGGTGGGTACCGCACCTCTCTTTGGTTTAGACACCAGATACAGTCCTGAGTAAATGACCTAAAATCCTTTGCTTCCCATCATACCCAACCTCCCCGATTTTAATCACTCCTCACCCCTGACTGTCATGATCCCTAAAACAACTGTATACACACACACACACAGAGGGGCACATCGCATCTGGGGGCTTGATCTAGGATTCCTACACATATTTTGCTTTCACTTTTCCTTGGTACCTTCCTTAGTAGACTGTGGCCAATCAGTATCTGGCATGTCCCTTTGGATCCAGAGAATATTAAAACAGAAAAAAAAAATCATGTCTAGTGTGAAAATGTACCAGTGTCATCATTCCTCCACCAGAGGAAGTGTATGTTACCAGGTGAAGGGCCAGAACATTTGTCTTTTCATTGCTCCAGGGATAGGCCTGTCCTTTCTTTTGACGTATGTAATGAATACCTGACGCAGGGAACCCATGCTCTGGCGGTTACATCATATAATTGCATTTCGTTCTCAACTATTGAGATGGAAGCGAGGGTTCCAACTGTATTGTTTTCTTAAGAGACCCAATCAGAAAAGAAGCTCAGGCCGTGCTGTGACTCTGCGGTGACTTTGTGTTCACAGTGGGAACAGCTTGTGGGCCCTAAGGTCGAGTGTAGACATCTGGGTTGCATTTTACTTAGAAAGTGTCCTTTCTTGGCAAAGGTGAGAGTGCAGGTGCTAGACTAGAAAACTCGGGTATGACCACTCTCACCCTCCATAAATTCAAACCTGACCTGCTCCTCCTCCAAAACCCCCAAATGTCCTGCATTTTCGTCTTACATCCTTCCAACCAATAAAGTGTAGAAATAGGGGAAATGAGGTGATGCCCATTGGTAAACACCATTTGTTTTCTGGACTGCCTACCTAGTCCTCCCAGCTGGACCCACTCCACTCTGGAGAAAGGAAACGAAAGTCATGAAACAGGTGAATTTAAACAATGGAAATTTAGGACCACAGCAGCTGGATTTAGATCCAGGGAAGCGTCCCGTGGGCAGTGACCCTTGACCATCTATAATAAACCTGAGCATCTGAATCGACCAGTTCAAAGCCTTCCCAGTTTGTTTTCTGTAATGAAAAAGATTGCCATGTCAGCAGTCAGATAAGCCCAAGCTCCCCAAGGCTACTTAGAACCGCCTCCCAGGTTTAGAAGCAGTTCTGAAACTCAAGCCGAAAGCTGGTAACTCAGCCTGGTCATGCTAGTTGATGATACCCAAAGCACACTCAGAGTCAGATGCCTTGCGTGGAATGATGCTTCAGCCCGGCAATATGTCATTGACAGTTACTGCTGTCAGATTACAGTTATGGAAACTCTGATCAGAAAAATCCCAGTTGATTTGCTTTTCTATTTCTTGGAAGCAACTTTAGGTGCTGGTGCACAAACTTCCTTTAGCCCTAGATTAGAGTCAGTTGGCTTTAAAAGTTTCAAAACTTTATGGGACTCTGACTGAAGATAGCATTGCTTTCACTGTTATCTAAATTTCAAGAAAGGCTTTGGCATTTGGATTTTTTTTTTTACCTAACCTGGAGCAACTGTCTCTATCCCATTTGCACTTGAAAAACATGAATGGCAATATGTTATTAGCTTTATGAGTCTGACACTCTCTTAGATTAACAGCCTTAGCGGGCTTGGATTCTGACAGTTTCTGAACAAGTGGTATTTGCCCTGCGAAGTTTGCAGAGTCTTAAGGCTGTCATCCCATGAAGCTGGTGGTATGACTGGGTGCGTCTGTATTAACTGCATCCTCTCTAACCCACTCTCCACCATCAGGGGAAGGAGAGAGCGCTACCGGCTCTGTGGCATTTTGCTTACAGACAGATCAAGGGCCATAGATCTTGATCTCCCAGACTTTGAGGAAATGCTTCTGCTTCAGTTACCAGTACTTAGATGAGTTATTCATAGATCTCTGTTCACTAATGACTGCTCTGGAAATCTAAGCACTGAAAGATATGCGAAAGATAATTGTGTGAATAAAGACACTAAATAAAGAAGGCCCGCATTTCTTTCAAGCCCTTACAGTGTGGTCCTCAGCCTGTTTTCAAAATCCAGAGCAAAGGCAAAGTGCATATGTTGGTAGCAGGTGGAGCCAACCTCTCTATGACTATATGACAACGTGTGCCTGGCTTTTTTAGGAATTTGGGGACATCGACTTCAACACTGGGGCTGCACAGGGTCCCCATCCCAGTGTCCTGTGACGTAGTGACCTACCCTAGTCTAATGGTGGATAGGGAGAGAGGGTGGGTGACTCGGGGCTGTGGTCTAGGAGTTAGTGTGTGAGAAGCCAAAGCAGAGAGCTTGTATTAGAAGGTGGAAGAAAGAAACGGTGTAGAGCTGCGTTGGTGGAGTTTGGGGAAGGCTGAGAAACACCGCCAGCCAGGGCTGAAGGCCTGGTTTCAGGGGGCGCAGAGGAGCCAGTGTTGAAGGGTCGTCCTCAGGTTGTGGTATGAAAGGAACTGTGCTCATCCAGCAGTGTCGGCAGTGGCATCATGCGTGCCACTTGGTCCTGTACAAAGACCAGCCTCTAAGTTAATACCCACAGCAGGAAAGGAGCAGATTGATAAACTCCAGGTCCTGCTTTCGGTTTGCACCAGAGATTCCTCCCCTGGGAAGCATCTGGGGGGAACCACTTTGATTTGAAGTGAAGGACTTGTGACTCATAGACATCTGTGAAGACCTCACAATTTGTGGTGCTTGTGAGCACTAAGCCTGTAGTAAGACACAACCAGAGGTCACAGCTTATTGTTCATGTTTGATGTTTTCTTTTTTTTAAATGCTCATCATTTTTTTTTAATTAATCTTTATTTATTTACTTATTTATTTATTTGCTGCGTTGGGTCTTCGTTGCTGCACACGGGCTTTCTCTAGCTGTGGCGAGCGGGGGCTGCTCTTTGTCGTGGTGCACAGACTTCTCATTGCAGTGGCTTCTTTTGTTGCACACAGGCTTCAGTAGTTGTGGCACTTGGGCTCAGTAGTTGTGGCTCACGCTCTAGAGCACAGGCTCAGTAGTTGTGGCACACGGGCTTAGTTGCTCCGAGGCATGTGGGATCTTCCCAGGCCAGGGCTCGAACCCATGTCCCCTGCATTGACAGGCGGTTCCTTAACTGCTGCGCCACCAGGGAAGTGTGTGAGAAGCCAAAGCAGAGAGCTTGTATTAGAAGGTGGAAGAAAGAAACGGTGTAGAGCTGCGTTGGTGGAGTTTGGGGAAGGCTGAGAAACACCGCCAGCCAGGGCTGAAGGCCTGGTTTCAGGGGGCGCAGAGGAGCCAGTGTTGAAGGGTCGTCCTCAGGTTGTGGTATGAAAGGAACTGTGCTCATCCAGCAGTGTCGGCAGTGGCATCATGCGTGCCACTTGGTCCTGTACAAAGACCAGCCTCTAAGTTAATACCCACAGCAGGAAAGGAGCAGATTGATAAACTCCAGGTCCTGCTTTCGGTTTGCACCAGAGATTCCTCCCCTGGGAAGCATCTGGGGGGAACCACTTTGATTTGAAGTGAAGGACTTGTGACTCATAGACATCTGTGAAGACCTCACAATTTGTGGTGCTTGTGAGCACTAAGCCTGTAGTAAGACACAACCAGAGGTCACAGCTTATTGTTCATGTTTGATGTTTTCTTTTTTTTAAATGCTCATCATTTTTTTTTAATTAATCTTTATTTATTTACTTATTTATTTATTTGCTGCGTTGGGTCTTCGTTGCTGCACACGGGCTTTCTCTAGCTGTGGCGAGCGGGGGCTGCTCTTTGTCGTGGTGCACAGACTTCTCATTGCAGTGGCTTCTTTTGTTGCACACAGGCTTCAGTAGTTGTGGCACTTGGGCTCAGTAGTTGTGGCTCACGAGCTCTAGAGCGCAGGCTCAGTAGTTGTGGCACACGGGCTTAGTTGCTCTGCATTATGTGGGATCTTCCCGGACCAAGGCTCAAACCCACGTCCCCTGCATTGGCAGGCGGATTCTTAAGCACTGCACCACCAGGGAAGTCCCCTGTACTTTATTGTTCAACGGTCCCCTCCTAACCGCCGCATCTCTGTAACCCTACCCTGGTCAGATAGAGGGGGTGTTCAGCCTGCACTGGACGCGTAGAGTAATCGAAGGCCTCAGACCTTCACTAAGTGACTGCCCTGCAGTCACACAGCTAGCTGGTCATGGAGAAGGACTAAAACTTACCTTTCCCACCCCCTAACCTAACGCTTTTTCACTTTCGCTCCATGCTACCTTCCACCAGTTCGTTTGACGTGCAGTGGATACTTAATTAGGTGTTAATGACTCTTCCACTCCTTTTAGCCCCCATTAGACTGTGTGAAAGATGAACCCCCCAGCAAAGCACTTCTTTCCTTTTACTCTAATATAAAGTACCAGCTTTGGCTGAGTTCATGGGGAAGGGTTAGTTAGGTGCCTAGCTGTAAACTTGTAAACCTGTTACCTAGCAACTTGGGAAATGAATTGAGTCACTAAACCTGATAAGAAGGAAGAAGCAGAAAATGATCTTTAATTAAAAATGGAACTTGGATTAGATTTATACTAAAATGTTATAGGTAAATCACACCAGCTTTCTGTAGATCCATAGCCCAGAGGTACTCTAGCATGGCATTCTGCCAAGAGGGCTACAACTGCTTAGTTCCAGACCCATCTTCAGATCAGCAAGGTCTTCCAAGAGGTGACACCGTCCCCACGTCCAGTGCTTGGCTGAGGGTGGGTTGCATTTTGCCTTCCTGCTGTGACCCCCTCCTCAGTCTGCACATCCAGCTAAATTAGGAACAGTGCAGTGCCTGGGTTGGTTTGTTAGTTTGTTTTTAATTTATTTATTTTATTTATTTTTGGCTGCGTTGGGTCTTCATTGTTGTGCGTGGGCTTTCTCTAGTTGCGGCGAGCGGGGGCTGCTCTTCGTTGCGGTGCGCAGGCTTCTCATTGCGGTGGCTTCTCTTGTTGTGGAGCATGGGCTCTAGGCGCTCGGGCTTCAGCAGTTGTGGCACATGGGCTCAGCAGTTGTGGCTCGTGGGTTCTAGAGCGCAGGCTCAGTAGTTGTGGTACACGGGCTTAGTTGCTCCACAGCATGTGGGATCTTCCTGGACCAGAGCTCGACCCATGTCCCCTGCATTGGCAGGTGGATTCTTAACCACTGCGCCACCAGCGAAGCCCAGTTTGTTTGTTTTGAATGTCAGCTTCAAACAGGGCTTATGCTGTTTTTTTAGGCACAGATTAACTTGGAACTTTTGCCTAAACAAGTGCCGGTTGTTTTTTATAGCACATATTTCTAAAAAGCTCAGAGTCAAATTAAGAGTGTGTGCTGTCCTCATGTGCACCACGCTCTCTGCAGGTCTCCTCCAGGCAGCCCTCGAGCAGGGCTGCTGCCTCTGTGTGGGGGGCGCTCTCTGGATGGGTGCTGCATTGTCTCCCTCAGAAAAGGCCTGGCCTGCGGAGGAGACTCAGAGAAGGGCCCTACCTGTCGTAGTCAGGAGTGAGGGAAGCAGGGAGAGGCCAGTTTCTAGGCCCATCACTTTGCTATCAAAGACCCCCTTCTGAGACCGTCTCTGTTAATTGGCTGAACCAAACAAAAGTGTCTCTTCTACACCCACCAGCCAGATACCGCTTTAGCTATTTCTCTACATGATGAAAGGCAACAGACAAGAAAAAGAATCACTGCCTGTTGAAGGGTACTGAGCTGCCAAATTTTCTAGCCAAAGAAGCGACAGGGTGACCCCAGTCCTGGCTTGAGCCTTTTAAAAGCCCTAGTCTCCTTAGAACATGCTTAGATATGGAGGCTCAGCTGCGTAAAGGCGTCCACTGTAAACTGAGGAACATCACCTGTACCTCATGATGATGTCAGCTTTTAATTTATGGAGGAGCCACTAATGACAGGGTGGAAAGAATGTATCCTTCCTTGACTTCTCCAAGGAGGAAACAACTGTGCAGTCTCCATTTCGTCTCCAGCTGTAGTATCCTTAGTCTCGGAATCATCGTACACATAGAGAACTAGACTCGCTGTTCTGCAGAGGTGAACAGTGCAGACTGATGGCAGTGTCTCAGTGTTACCTAATGCACGTTTGTGTGCCCGATGCACAGTGAGGCTAAGCAAACCGAAGGTCAGAGTTTGGAGCAGAGAAAGGTTTATTGCAGGGCCAAGCAAGGAGAACGGGTGGCTCTTGCCCCCAAAATCTCCAAACTCCTCAAAGGGTTTCAGCAAAACATTTTTAAAGGCCAGGTGAGGGAGGGGCATCCCAGGGTATGTGATCAGCTCATGCACAGTTCTCTGATTGGTTGAAGGTGATCAATCCTTAGGCACTGGAAGGTCTGGGGGCTACATGCTCATGATCATCAGTAGTTAATTTCTTCCTTTTGGTGGTGGTTTTGAGCCTCTGAAAAACTCAGGGAATATGCATGAGATACTATTATCTGGGTACTTCTGAGAGGAGGTACAGCAGAGGACATGAGGGAGGGGTATGTCCTGAGAAGACTGCTGCTCAGTTACATCAGTAGTGAGATCCCAGGTCCTCACCACATTCTAGCACCACGGATATATTAGGAAGTTCTGTTCAAAATACCTCCCTACACAGTCCATTGCTATGAATTCATTTAAAGGCAAATTTTTAAAGTGCCAATTAGGATGACTGAGTGCCAATAACATGAGTTATTCTTAACTGATTGTAGAATATCTGTATTAGCTTGCCTTTCCTGTAGTTTAGACCATGGGAACAGAGGAATTAAAGTTTCAGCAGTGGGAGAGGAGGCTGATTTGGGGACATGGGGCAACACAGAGGAGGGCAGGCCTTGGAGTGTAAAAGACAGCCCTGGGCTCCTGGAGATTAGAGAAGTGGGGGCCGGTTTCCAGAAAATTGGGAGGGAGGATCCAGAAAGAGGAAATATTTCTTAGTGCTATAGTAAATTACCATAGACTGGGTTGCTTAAACCATGAATATTTATTTCTCACAGTTTTGGAGGCTGGAAAGTCCAAGATGAAGTCACCAGCAGATTCAGTGTCTGATGAGAGCCCCCATTCCCTGCTTCATAAATGGCCGTCTTTCTGCTCTGTTCTCACACAGCAGAGAGAGCCAGCTAGCTCTCTTGCCGTGTCTTGTAAAGGCACTAATAGCATTCACAAGAGCTCCACCCTCAGGACCTAATCACATCCTAAAGGCCCACCTCCCAAGCACCATCACACTGGGGGGCTAGAATTTCAAGATACAGACTTGGGGAGGATGCAAACATGCAGTTCATAATTAAGAGAGATCTCCAAAGATACACTTTACCTACTTTACACTTTTTCCCTGGGCCACAGTGCTGTCACACACCGTTGAAAATTGTCAGGAGTGACATCTTGTGAATTGGCAAGATTCAGGGAATTCAGTGCAATAAAAATCACAGGGCACTTTTCACTGTTAACACTTTGCCGAGAAGTTGATCAACCTTATGCTAGTAAAAAAAAAAGAAAAAAAAAAGTCTCAAGAACACAAAATGCCAATTTAGTTAAAAGTTGGAGCCAGTGCTCTATTTTCAGTAATAGTGGATCCTGGACAGGTGAGACCAAATCCAGACTTCCTGAAGTAACAGCAGCCCCCAATTAAAATGATGGCAGAGGCTCTCAGCACCTGCTAAGATCGCACCTATAAAGACCACGCAGAGCTCGTTAATTTTAAATTTAAGACTCACCGAGCTCCTAATTTAGTTTTCTCCTTGGAGAAATGCTCTCTGGATGCCAGAAGAGGATCAGCACCTTCTAGTTTGAAACTCTGTCTTGCATAGGATGATACTTGTTTATGGGATTCTGATTTCAATTTGAGTTATTTTTGACAGCGCTGCATGTAGCGTCAACATACAGGGTCACTGTGAAGAACGTCTTAATTTCATTTTCTTTTATGTGTTAATTCTGTAATTGCTTACCAACCACATAGCTCAGTAGAGTGAGGGGCGTGAGGTACTTGCTGGGGGCGCTGGCAGGAAAGGGCGTTTTGTGAGCAATTTTAGGCATTGATGGGTATACACGGAGCATTGCATTCGCTCAGGTTATTTAAGACTGCAGTTACAAAGTAATTAGGGCAACTAAAGCATTGAGGGTTTTAGATCTATGACAACTGCACAAACATAAATGGGATATTGTGAGGTTAAGAAATGTTTGCATGATTATGTGAAATCTTTTGCTTCTGAAATACATCAGTGTATCAAAAGAAGTTTCTGGCTGGGTTTGCAGCCCAGGTGATGCTCCTTGGTTATTTTGTGCTTTGGGATAATGGTACTTAAACCTTTCCTCAGTTACCTCCCACCAATTATTCTTAGAGGCAGGCTGGGATGAGGGGGGCTGGCAGGGAGATGGCTTGAAAAAGTGCTAGCCAAGAGAAAAAATGAAATTATGTTCAACCAGTGAGAGAGAGGTGGGGCTGAGAGGTATTGCAACATAACTTCAGGCCCAGTTCCACTACCTGCCCTGCATAACTTACACTGTCTGAGTACTGGTTTCGCCACCTGTGAGCTGATGATGAGGATAACCACAGCACCACTCATAATGATACACAGCGGGTATAGTCAGCAAAGCGTTGTCATCCACGGGGCGCTGCATCTACCATGCAGCGTGGTGTTTCCCTCATCCCACCCTTACACCTTAGTCTCCATGGAGTCTTCGTGAGAGAGCGCCTTGACGCACCCTCGCCTACCTGACTTGGCTCTGGGGAGCTAGGGGCCAGGCACAAGACAACAGGTAAAAGATGGTGAGGGATCAGCCTCCCGGCAGGCAGAACAACATGGCAGGTGATCCTTTCCAGAGTTAGCAGGAGGCGGCGCTGACTCTACATGGAAAATGGAAACAGTGAAATGCTTAGTAGTTTTTTTTTAAAAAGTGTCTGCCACCCAGCACCATGTGAGAACTGCTGCTCCAGGACAGGACTCTTTTAGGTTGTTTTTAATTAAACGAAAGCATTCCTTCCAGACCTGGTGTACCTTTGCCCACGGATAGTGTGTTGAATCACTTTGCATGTTGCTGCTCTAGAACATTCTAGGACGAGGGAAAGCAACTGCTTCCCAGATAATTTGCCTTGGTTCTAAAATATGCTGGTTTGCAGAGGAAAACAACGGTCGTTTGTGTCATTTCTTCCAGAACATAATTGCCGAACATGAAATTCGTAATATCTCCTGTGCTGCCCAAGACCCAGAAGACCTCTCAACATTCGCTTATATCACAAAAGATTTGAAGTCCAATCACCACTACTGTCACGTGTTTACTGCCTTCGATGTGGTGAGTAGCTACCCTCTTTGGACAAACTAAATATTTCCCTGAATATACCTGGATTTTATTGAAAGCCCAGCTTGCAGTTTAGATGCTTGGCTTCTTTACCAAGTTTTAAGGTATACCTGGTGTAAGGTATTTTGCAGACTCAGCTTTTCTGAGTTTTTTCTGTATTTTCATTCATTCATTAAATTTAGAACTCCACTTCTATCCAGTATCTGAACTGTCATTGCTCAGTTACTAACCTCACTTTTCATATCAGACGAGTTCCTTTCTTTCTCTGGTACCAAAATATCGTAAATGTCTTCCAGCCTTTCTGTTCCTTTGCTATGTCTGTTGGTTTTTTTGGTAGCCATTTCTAAGTAGTAGGGCATGATAGTCTAGGTTTGTTTGGAGGAAAAGTAAATTCAGTGCCTCATACAATATTTGTGGTTTTCTATATTGAATAGTCGTTAAATTAGACATTTATAAATAATAGGTGGGAACGGCAAGGTTTGGTCCATTTGAATATGGCCCGTATTCAGAAGTTAGTCTTGTAATGACGTCCTTATGGTGTTACACTACCTATAGTCCTATATGTCATTAAGTCCAAAAACTAGCCCATATATTACAAACTTGGAAAATGGAAGCAATTCTAGAAAATAACAAGTATTCCTTCTTGTACCTTCAAGATGGTACAAATTGCTCGAGGATAACTCTATTGTAGTACATTGGGCATTCTAAGTTTGAAGCAGACAGAACAGACAGCTACAACCATGAAATAATTTGTAATCAGAAGAATTCTAAAATGTCACTTTAATTTGACAATTCTGCTCTGCTCAAGTTTTGAAATACACATGTTTAAAGAATTACACAGAAATTGCAATATAATATATTCTTGAGAGGCCAGCCCACAGTTCAATGTCATGGGTAAGACTACTTGAAGCAATCATTTTTAGTTCTGACAAACTCCCATGGACCAGGGACCACAGTAACCCAGAATTTACCCCATCCTAAGGGATGTTAGACTGATGCCCAGAACATTGTATCAGGCTGCATGTGGCCCATCCCTTTCAAGTTTTGAAGATTGAAAACAGGAAAGAATGCTATGTGCCTTTAATTTTTTTTTTTTCTATTTTGAGAAGCATGAGGAGAATAATATACAGGTGGTCTGTGTTAACAGTAAGGACTGCAAAGCCAAGCCCTCAGAGGCTGCTCTAGATATCTCTGGATGCGTTTGTTTGCATGGGATCAACAGTGTTGATTAAAGCCATGTCAGCATTAGGTTTCTGGTGCCTTAGACATAACTTGCCATTCTTGTGAAATGAAATTGTTTCTTTTTTTAGCATTTTTTAAAAATATTTATTTATTTGGTTGCACCAGGTCTTAGTTGTGGCAGGTGGGCTCCTTAGTTGCGGCATGCAGGCTTCTTAGTTGCAGCTTGCATGTGGGATCTAGTTCCCTGATCAGGGATCAAACTCGGACCCCCTGCATCGGGAGCTCGGAGTCCCAACCACTGCACCACCAGGGAAGTCCCGCAATTGTTTCTTAAAACAGCGAAATTCCATTCTGTCCACATACATTTTGGTTTGCATGATACGCCCTTCTCTGGGATTTGCCTTGGTGTCATAGAAAGAACAGGATGCTCAGAGTTCACATCCCAACTCACTGCCTGCTCCCTGGTCTTAGATGAGTTGCAGGACTTTTCTGAGTCCTGATTTCCTTTGTCTATAAAACAGGCACAGGGATTGTACCTTACAGGTTTTCTTTGGGATTGAAATGAAGGAACGTATGTAGAGCATTTATTAAATAATGCGTGTTCAGTGTTTGCTTCCCCCGCGCCACCTCTTCTCTCTCCTTGCCAACTGACCTCACAGTTCACAGCCTGGACTTTTTCTGCTAAAAGACATAAGATAGATTTTCTAGAAGTGTACTTATGGTCCGAAGTTTTCCCACTGCCCTTGTGAAAGAATTGAAAAAAATAGAAGAAAAAATAAATAAAATAGAAACAATAGAAAGAAAGCATAGGCTCTGTAGGCCTTCTATTGGTATATTGCATCTATATAGTGTTTTCATTGAATGTCAACATTAGTATTCCAGTATTGTCAGGATGAATTCCACCGTTCCCTCGGGTATTGCAGCAATTCTTTCTAAATTGGTTTTAGAGTAATATATAATTTGCCTTCATAAGGGTATCGAAAACATTGTTCTCTGTTGAAGCTAAAAATGATGCCCATGGGCCATCTGGCCTCTTGAGTTTTTTAAGCGTGTGTATATGTGACGCCAGAATACAGACGTGAAACGTGGGGAAAAAATAGTCAACTGTTTAGTTTTAAGATCAACATGATGTTCCTGATACATTTGGAAAACGAGTGGAGAATTGCTTCACCTTTTGTTTTTTCATCCAGATGTTTGATTTAATGTAGACATTCACTAGGTTAGGAGTCTGGTTTCAGCTCCAGAAGATTTTCATCTTACATCACAAATCCACCATTTTAATCCTCTCTAGGTGAACAGTTTGTCTAACTTCAAAAATAGTAACAAAGGCCACCAGCCTTGACGTGGGCCTTCGAGCAATTTTGAGATGCACCAAGCTTTGCTTGCACTAAAAAAAAAACCTCTTTGAGCATGGATTTTGTATCTTTATGTAGGGCAGTTCAATATTCAGTCCAGTCTCGAAGCCTTAAAATTCTTTTGGTATGAACCAGTCCCCCAGGCTGCCCAAATGGCAAAAGAAAAGAAAAGAATACCTTAAATATACATTTAGTCTTTCAGCTGATGTGTATGAGTACATGTACATTTTTAATTGCAGTTATTGCTACTTTGACCTTGTAGATGTTTTATGGGTCACAAGTTTTTATGAATATTTCTTATCGCCAAGAAAACCCAGTGATGTCTAGGAGGCTTCCAGTTTACGAAGAGTTGGATTTGAAATTCAGAGCATTTTTCCCATAGAAATCCTGTGGTCTTGGAAGGGAGGCTCAAGGCCCCCTACAAATATGAGCATGTGAATTTAACGTAGTTCCTTGACTCTGGGACCTTGCGGAGCCCTTGATAGGCTCAGACACCGGGAGGGGGTGGAGCGAACCTGGTTTCCCAAGTTCATTTGGCCGTGGTAGCCTCTTTTGGGGAGAGCTTCTCACGGAGGTGCTGTTCTGCAGAACACACCTCAGGAAACGTTATGCTTTATCTTCTCTAAGCTTGTTTCCATGACTTAGAATCTAGGCTAAATTCAGCTTGCGATATTTTCAGTTTTTAATGACAGGTAGATGAAAATTTTAAAAGACTAGAGCAGAAAGGGAATTAGGGTTCCCAAGAAAGGCCAGTATGTACCTACCGGCGCACTCCAGACCTACTCTGCATTCTAGACTCACTGTGGTGGCAGCTGATTTCTAGTCACCTCCCCAGTGGGACACATCTCATCCACTACAGAACAAGAGGCTGCCCAACCTCCACCTTCCAGGCAGTGAAAACTTGGGGGAAGAGAGTAGGACTGTGTAGGAAAAAAGAATGTGTTACAAGACCAGGAGTTGTAAGGCTTAAAACAACGGATTCAGCTTTTCTCTTCTCCACTCCTATCTCAAATGAATGAAGGGGAAATCCATGCTGCTGAGATGACAAGAGGGAGAATGCGTGTTTCAGCGGCCACCAGATCCCAAGGCTGCAGTGATCATCCTTAAAAGGCCACCATAGGAAAGAGAGAGATATAACCAAGGTCATTTGGCAACTATCATCTATGTATTATTCACTCAGTCTAGATTTCTAGGACATAGAATGGAGATAGGTAGATTAGAAAGATTTTGATGCATTCTCTGTGGGACTGTCAGGTTTATTTTAAAAATCTGGGAGGGACCTCATTGACTAGTTCTAAAATACGGAAGGTTTATTTTGTTTAAATAGCATTAAAAGCCATGACTGCCGCTAAACCCTGGCTAATTCTCACTTCTCTATAAAGAACATGTTTGCAGTCTTTGATATTTTTAACCATGCTCATTTTTCTCTTACTTGCACCTCCCAAATTCTGTCATCTTCAGTGTGTACGGCTTAGACTGGTTGTGGAATGTGTAGAGAATGTCAAAGTCTTGATGCCGGTGGGCGGTGCGTTGGGGAGACGAGGCTCCCTCTTTCCTGTGCCTTCTTGGCTGAATGTGGGCCATGAAAGGATCTAAGCTGGAGAAACAGAGATGACAAAATGCAGGAAACCATGGTCAGCCAGGGGCACAGCATTTTATAGTCCTTTTCCATCACTAGGGACCAGCAAACCTAAGCGCAGGGGAAGGACACCAGAGTCGACCACTCTGTCGTCATCAGTCTCATGAAAGTGAGATTCCGGAGCCCTTTAATTTTCTCCAGTTTTATTGAGATAAAATTGACATCTAACACTGTATTCATTTTAGATGTACAGCATAAGGATTTGATACATGTATGTGCTGCAAAATGATCAGCACAATAAGTTAACATCCATCACCTCACACAGTTACACATTTTGTGTGTGTGTGTGTGTGTGTGTGTGAGATAAGAACTTTAAGATCTACTCTGTCAGCAACTTTCAAATGTACAATACAGGCATACCTGAAAGATACTGCAGGTTCTGTTCCAGACTACTGCAATGAATCAAATATCACAATAAAGCAAGTCACATGAATGTTTTGGTTTCCCAGTGCATATAAAAATTATGTGTACACTGTACTGTAGCCTGTTATGTGTGCAATACCATCATGTCTAAAAAAATGTACATGCCTTAATTTAAAGATGCTTTATTGCTAAAAAAGTACTAACCATCATCTGAGGCTTCAGCAAGGCATAATCTTTTTGTAATGGTAGCATCAAAGGTCTGATCACAGTTGACCATAAGGAATATAATCATAATGAAAAAGTTTGAAATCTTGCCAGAATTACCAAAGTGGGACACAGAAACACAAAATGAGTAAATGCTGTCAGAAAAATGGAGCCAGTAGACTTGCTCAATGCAGGGGTGCCACAAGCCTTCAATTTTTTAAAATAGCAATATCTTCAAAGTGCAATAAAAC